TTATTATTATTATTATTATTATTATTATTATTATTATTATTATTATTATTATTACATTATGGTTATTTTCTTTTCCTGTGCTCTCATCTAGTTACCTCGGTTCTCCTCCAGTATTTGGGGCCCTAGTCAGACTAAGGAAGCTGGCCCTTGGAGGTCCTTCTCTGAAGGAGCTCCGGAGAGGAGATCTGTCTGGAGTCACCCAGCTGGAGGAGTTAACTGTTCATGCAAACAACCTGACCAGGTTTGCACGGGTTTTGGTAGTGGTGTTAAGTTACTGTCTTTATTAGTGGTGGTAGCTTCAAATTAGTGTCCTTTATTCTAACTGCCTTGAGTCTTTTTTGTTTATGGTTAACTGTAGTGAGGCTATGAATACATTTTTATAGGTGGCTATAGATGGCTAAAAGTAAGTTACTTAGTAGGTTAATGAATCAACACGCTTTATGAATTTTCTTTGCTATTGCAAAATGTAACCGTTTCCATCTCAACTTCAGAAATGTGTGTCAAAATAATGAAGAATAACTAAGAGACATCTTTAAAGACTCATATTTATGGCATAACTCTTTTATATATAATTTCAGTTATATATAAAAGTTACTTTTTTAAAAAAGTTCTTTAAAATGTGTTGGTTATGGTCTATTTTTATAGATTCTTTATACTTATTTGGGCTAACAAACCAACACTTCTCTATGTGCTTTTACTAAATATACAAATCAATATCTGATGCTTTTATTATTGTGTATACTGTCTTCCTTTTCACATATCCTCAACTTTTAGCTTCTGTATCTTGCTTCTGCAGCTATGACGCTGGTACATTAGCACACATTTGGCCGCTAGGTCATGTCACCTTGAGTCTCCATGGTCCTTTTCTAACAAATGTGACCTTGGCTGGGTCTATGATTGATGATGTGTCATATCCTGAGACACCCATCATTCTGAAAGACATCAATTTGAATGGAGTTCAGTCTGTTCAGCCCTTTAGTAAGGCAGCCAAAAGGAGGATCAGGTATGGACATCACTTCTACTTGGGTAAAACTAATATTCTAACAAACTGGGAAACAAACAAACCTATTCTTCCTCTGTGTTGTAACTCTTCAGGTATTTGACCCTACATAATGTTTCTGTGTCTGACGAGGCTATTGTTGACTTCCTGGTGGTATTAGATGGAGTTCCACTGACCAAACTTACCATAGAAGATGTCACACTGATGGGCGAAGGCTGGTAGGAAAGAAGCACATTATCTTTTTGGCATATGTCCCAGTTAGCAACTTTGGTTCAAAAGAAACGTTTGTGTATTATACAGGAAATTGAAAACAACAAACTTGTCTTTTTTTGGTTGGGGTTAGGTGGGGGAAAGCTAGCCAAACTGATCACAGAAGCATAGATGAGTTCTACATCCGTAACCTTGTAATTCTGGATGTCTACAAATTTACCTCACTTCTACAATTGGGTTTTCTGCTGGAGTATCCAAGAAGGGTGTCTGTCATAAACGCCAAGGTAAAAATCATTTTCTCAATATGTTCCTAACTGTGGAAACAGACAGCTTAAATCTCTGAGACAGCTTTCTGTATCCTTCCCCTAAACCATGATGGTGAACAGTCTTTGTCTTCAGGTCATTTGAGAGTT